TTGTCATTATTGATGTTTTGGATTTCTTTAGCTTATATCTTGGTCACATGGTAACCAATGGACAAGAAAAGACTACAAATAAACTCACCTAGACTTGGACTACAACCTTGATTAAGCTGACTACTGATTCCCAGATACCGAGTATCAAAACCAAATACTGAGTACCAATTACCATGTACCAAGTACTGCGTAATGAGTAACAAGATAACCAATTGACAAGAAAAGACTACCACTACACTCACCTGGACTTGGACTACAACCTTTGGTAAGGAAGTTAAGCATAATAACAACTTTCATTTTCTCATTATTGCTGATGTTTTGCTGAATGACAAGGAAAGACTACCAAATCACTCACCTTGACATGGACTACAACTGTCATTTTTCATTATCATTTGCCTATATTGACTACCGAGTCTCGAGTACCAACCACTGACCACCAATCACCGAGTGCCGAGTACCGAGTACTGATAGGGAATAGTGTGGGTGAACCCCAGGGTATGAGTAGCACTACCCCCACCCATACCCCATGATATACCCACACCCACCTTGTGGGTATGGGTTTTTTGGTGGGTATCAGGGAGAAACTACCGAGTCTTGAGTACCAACCACTGACCACCAATCACCGAGTACCGAGGACCGAGTACCAAGTACCGAGTCCCGAGTCTCGAGTCCCAAATCCCGAGTCCCGAGTCCCAAGTCCCAAGTCCCAAGTCCCGAGTCCCAAGTCCCGAGTCTCGAGTCCCAAGTCCCGAGTACCGAGTCCCAAGTACCAACCACTGACCACTGATCACTGAGTGCCAAGTACCAAGTACCAAGTACCAAGTACCAAGTCCCAAGTCCCAAGTACCGAGTACTGACAAATACAATTCCCAGGTTATTTGAGCCCTACACCAATGGATAATACATACAAATACAATTTGTGTCCATTTGAAGTACCGGGTTTCAGGTTTTGACACTCGACACTTGGTGATTTGTGAAATGAGTGAAAAATGGACATGTTGTGTACATGATGTTGGGTTTCGGGCTTTGGGTCTCGGCCCTCGGCACTTGGAACTCGATGATTTGAGTAATGTAAATGAAAAATCAACATGTTGCATGCCGGGTTTCGAGTTTCTGGTTTCAGCACTCAAAACTCAGTGATTTGTACAGTGAGTGAAAAATGGACATGTTGTGCACATATTTTCAGGTCTCAGGGTTCGGGTTTCGGCCCTCGGAACTCGGAACTTAATGACTTGTGTAATATAATTGAACAATGGACATGTTGCACACCCAGTTTTGAGTTTCAGGTTTCAGCACTTGAAACTCGGTGATTTGTGCAACAAGTGAAAAATGGAAATGTTGCATACATATTTTCGGGTCTTGGGCTTCGGGTCTCGGCCCTTGGCACTTGGAACTCGATGATTTGTGTAATGTAAATGAAAAATCAACATGTTGCATGCCAGGTTTCAAGTTTCAGGTTTCAGCACTCAAAACTCGGTGATTTGTGCAATGAGTGAAAAATGGACATGTTGTGTACATATTTTCGGGTCTCGGGGTTCAGGTTTCGGCCCTCGGAGCTCGGAACTCAATGACTTGTGTAATATAATTGAACAATGGACATGTTGCATGCCGGGTTTCGAGTTTTGGGTTTCGGCACTTGAAACTCAGTGATTTGTGCAACAAGTAAAAAATGGACATGTTGTGCACATATTTTCGGGGTTCGGGTCTCGGACCTCGGACCTTGGAACTCAATGATTTGTGTGACGTAAATGAAAAATCAACATGTTGCATGCCGGGTTTCAAGTTTTGGGTTTCAGCACTCAAAACTCAGTGATTTGTGCAATGAGTGAAAAATGGACATGTTGTGTACATATTTTTGGGTCTCGGGGTTCGGGTTTCGGCCCTCGGAACTCGGAACTTAATGACTTGTGTAATATAATTGAACAATGGACATGTTGCACACCCGGTTTTGAGTTTCGGGTTTCCGCACTTGAAACTCAGTGATTTGTGCAACAAGTGAAAAATTGAAATGTTGCATACATATTTTCGGGTCTCGGGCTTCTGGTTTCGGCCCTCGGCACTCGGAACTTGATGATTTGTGTAATATAAATGAAAAATGGACATGTTGCATGCCGGGTTTTGAGTTTCAGGTTTTAGCACTCAAAACTCGGTGATTTGTGCAACAAGTAAAAAATGGACATGTTGTGCACATATTTGCGGGGTTCAGGGTTCGGGTCTCGGACCTCGGACCTCGGAACTCAATGATTTGTGTGATGTAAATGAAAAATCAACATGTTGCACGCCGGGTTTCAAGTTTTGGGTTTCAGCACTCAAAACTCGGTGATTTGTGCAATGAGTGAAAAATGGACATGTTGTGTACATATTTTCGGGTCTTGGGGTTCAGGTTTCGGCCCTCGGAGCTCGGAACTCGATGATCTGTGTAATATAAATGAAAAATCAACATGTTGCATGCTGGGTTTCGAGTTTTGGGTTTCGGCACTTGAAACTCGGTGATTTGTGCAACAAGTAAAAAATGGACATGTTGTGCACATATTTTCGGGGTTCGGGCTTCGGGTTTCGGCACTTGGCACTTGGTTATTTGTGTGATATAAATGAAAAATCAACATGTCACACACTGGCTTTCCAGTTTCACGCTTTGGCACTCGAAACTCAGTGATTTGTGCAGTGAGTCAAAAATGGACATGTTGTGTACATATTTTCGGGTCTTGGGGTTCGGCCCTTGGCCCTCGGCACTCGTAACTCTATGATTTGGGTTATATAAATGAAAAATCAACATGTTGCACACTGGGTTTCAAGTTTCACGCTTTGGTACTCAAAACTCGGTGATTTGTGCAACAAGTGAAACATGGACATGTTGCATACATATTTTCGGGTCTCGGGGTTCGGGTTTCGGCACTTGGCACTCGGAACTCAATGAATTGTGTAATGTACATGAAAAATGGACATGTTGCACACTGGGTTTCAAGTTTCACGCTTTGGCACTCGAAACTTGGTGATTTGTGCAGTGAGTGAAAAATGGACATGTTGAACAATAGTGGGAGTCAAACTTGGCGATTCATGCCTCGATTCTGACTCCGATTTTCGACACGATTCTTCAACCTGAATTGACCATGAATCGATTGTAAGGTTGACTACCCCCGATTCTCATCACTGATTCAACTCGTTTCTCGAATGATTCTCATCTGAGTCGACAGCACTTAAATAATCAAATATATGTAGATAAGTATGCAATGAAATGTCTAGTCACTACTAGTGACATCATGGCTCGCTACACCCCACGTCAGCAACGTGCCCAACGGCTGTTGCAAGACTTTCTCTGATACAAGAAGATCCGCCTGCATTTAGCCCAGCGTCGACGAGCTCGTCAGACCAAACAGCAAATTAACAACTTTGTTACAGAATCCACTCTCTCCGAGTCATCATCTGAGTCACCTACTACTACCAGTACTACTGATTCCACCTCACAGGTATCCAAATCTGACGAGTCCTCAAGCTCCTACTTCTCGGATACCTCAGAATGCACTACCTTCTCGGATCATGAGTCCACTGACAGTGATGCAGATGCTGATTCAGAATTTTCAGAAGACAGTTCTGTGTTGAGTTTTGACTCGGACGAGGAAACTGACGGGGAACCAGTCACCACACACCATCAGGGACAAGTAGCACACCACGTACGACACACTCTACAAGATATCTTTGCACATCGTTATGATGCACCCCAAAATGTTCGATTATTACACCCACCTGCCCAGCTTCCCCACGTCCTTTCAGTCACGAAAATCAAATATCCTGATCACTTCCGTCAGATTCTTCGTGTCACACCATATACGTTCGATCGAATCACAGCAAAAATCTGCACTGACCCTGTCTTCGTCAACCACTCCCACTGCGAGCAGCATCCTGTCAACGTACAGCTTGCTGTAACTCTGTATCGGTTTGGCCATAGCGGAAATGCAGCAGGTCAGTCAGCTGTTGCTCATTGGGCAGGAGTGGGTCATGGTACTGTGTCCCTGATGACGAGGAGAGTTATGACTGCCATTCTTTGGCCTGATTTCATGGCTGAAGCAGTCCGTTTTCCCACTGCAGAAGAGAAAGAGGCAGCAAAATCTTGGGTTGAAGCCCGCTCATGCAAGGCATCGCGTGGTGGCTGGTGCCTCGTTGATGGTACTTTGATTCCACTGTACGACCGCCCTCACTGGTACGGAGAAAGCTACTTTGATCGAAAATGTAATTATTCACTGAATATTCAAGTACGTTCATCAACAATCATAGTCACTCTGCATTTTTATTGTCTTCCAGGTTGTTTCCCTGCCAAACCTTCGTATCGTCGACTTTTCCTATGGACATACTGGCAGTACTCACGATTCATCTGCTTGGGACGGGACCCAGCTGAAAAGAGACCATGACAAGTATATGGAGGGTGACGAGTTCGTGTGGGCAGATTCTGCATACCCAGTGTGTTGACTATTATCATCAACTACTACCTGACAATCTAATGGCAATTGCAGCTGCAAAAGTGGGTAGTAGCACCCTATAAAGCCCCCGAGAAGTTTTTGGAATGCAACATGGAATTCAATAACCATGTTTCCATGCTCCGAATCTGTTCCGAGCATGCCATTGGTTTTTTGAAGGGCCAATTTCATTCTTTGAAGGGCCTGCGGGTGCGAATCGTGAATGAGCAGTCTCACAAATTTGCCACATACTGGGTTGCTGCATGCATTGGACTGCATGCATTTGCAATGCAGTGTGAGGACAAAGACAACTCAGGCTCAGATGACGAGACTGAACCTTTCATTGCTGAGGGACTGTCATCATCTGACTCTCGCTCTGGATCAAATATTGTACCAGAAACCACTGCGAGGTCAAACCGTTTGCATGAAGCACGGGCTCGACGAGAACAGTTGAAGCGGAGGTTATTTCGGGCAAAGGATCTGAGGAGGCACCAATTTTTGGATTCGAGTGAATCAGATTAACTACAGTACAGATTAACTACAGTATATCTACTGAGGAACAGCTGGTAAAATGTACTCAACTTGAAATGAAGCATCAGACCTTGAAATAGGGTCAGAGAAAGGGTCAGCAGATGAAGCCCTCGAAGACGAAGGTCCTGGACCCATAAAACTCGGTTCGATGTCATCATGGAAGGCAAAGTCAAAAGATGGTGTTGCAGAGTGATGTGAAGCCTCACGGTAGTGGCCATGAATTGTCGGAGGCTGTAGTAAGGACAGTTAGAACTTTGAAGTCTTGTTGAATGACGAAGATGACTTGCCGTACTAGCAACGTGCTTTCTCGCAGCTCGATCTCGCCTTCGTTCTCTCTGGTCACATAACTTCTCGCGCTCCAATTCAATCTTCGCCAACTTGATCTTGGCCCTCATGATATCTTTTTCTGCTCTCGCCTTGGCAACATCCATCTCCTTCTGCCATGTCACCTCTTCGGCCTGCACAATCTCAGCAAACTCGTCTTTTTTCTGCTTCTTTTTCCTTGGAGCCTTCTCATTTTCTGTCCCCCATCGCTTCTGAACACCGTCGACATGTTTTCCGTCTTCAGAAGGCACCAATGCAACATTCTTCGCCGAGTCATTCCCACATTCTGGAGTCTGCCTCTCGATATCCCACTCCTCGGAGGCATACCCCCCAGTCAGGCGAGCTTCGAATAATGGCAGACACATCAATATCAGTGTCGTTGTTGCCGAGCCCAACAGGTATGTTGTTCGGACGCTGACCAATGAGCTCGCACATCTCGAAGAAGTAAGGACATGCTCCCTCAATCTCCACTATTTTACAGAGGTTTATTTTCAGTTGTGTGGGTGTCACAAATAGGTACGTACTCCACTTTATCACGAATTGGTTTTGACGGCTTTTATCCACATCAGACCTCTTTTTGATACCGGCACCTGTGGCACCCATCACTTCGATGTACTTTAAGGTGTTAACCGTCATCCTAAGCCTCATGAGCTGAATGTGAGTTGTTAAAATGGTGAGCTCACCGTTTTAACCTATTTTTAATCTTGGTGTGCCAGGCTTCTTTCTGCTTTGGTGTGCCTTTGTCCCGCAACACTTCGAACCAGCTTTTATAGTCCTCGTGGTAAGAAAACAGTTTCTCGCATAGAACCCAATGGAAACAAGCCTTGTTTGATATCCTCGTCTTCAGTGATCTCAGTGAGCATCTGAAAGGTGAGTTCTTTGGTCCACCTGCATACAGACATGGTCAGAATACACTGATTGACACTACTAGAATCCACGCACTCGATTTCGGGTGGCTCGAGGCTCACAGCATCACCATCCTCTTCTCTTGCGCTATTTTCACGACCCTTCAACCCTCTCTTACTACCGGTCTCGGTGATCTTCGAGTTCTTCTTGCCTTCGCTAGTGGATTTTGCAGGTGTGTTTTTACTTGCTTTTGCCATGAGAACTGGGATATCAGTGACGGGCGTCGTTGTTCGTTTGTAGTTTTATTTTCATCATATGTTTTTCATCACTATGTATTTAATTTATAAAAAAAATCCCAATGTAGACATATCAGCGGTGAAACGAATCGTTGAAGCGGCTCTGGAGCCGCTTCAACGATTCTGGGTGATTCACGATTCCACACGATTCTGACACTCGAAAATCGATGTCAGAATCACCGTCCGAATTGGTGCGTGAATCACCAAGTTTGACTTCCTCTAATGGGTTTCAGGGTCTCGGGTTTGAAAAATAGCATAATAACAACTTTCATGTTTTCATTATCATTTGCCTATATTGACTACCGAGTCTGATAAGAGACCCCTTGGATGATTCATTGCTCAATGAAATACTACCTGATTGGAAGTGTGCTGGTTATCAGATATTCATTTGTCGACTCCCGGGTCCCGGAACTTGGAAGTCGGTACAGTTGACCCAAATTTGGGTGGTCGGAACTTGGCATCTCATAGGGCAACACAAGCTTCACACCCTGGATTCCAAATTCTGCAAGACAACCTGTGCACCATCAAAGGCCATGTCAGGAGATCACCTGCTGCTCTGGGAACTCGGGAACTTTGATTTATTACCTCCTCTGAGTACGGTTGACCCAAAGGTTGGTAATCGGAACTTGGCTTCTCATAGGGTAACACAAGCTTCGCACCCCGGATTCCAAATTTTGCAAGACAACCTGTGCACCATCAAAGGCCATGTCAGGAGATCACCTGCTGCTCTGGGAACTCGGGAACTTTGATTTATTACCTCCTCTGAGTACGGTTGACCCAAAGGTTGGTAATCGGAACTTGGCTTCTCATAGGGTAACACAAGCTTCGCACCCCGGATTCCAAATTTTGCAAGACAACCTGTGCACCATCAAAGGCCATGTCAGGAGATCACCTGCTGCTCCAGGAACTTGGTAACTTTGATTTTATTACCTCCTCTGATTTGGTTGATGTACAACTACCTCAGCTCCATCATGTCTACAATTATGATACACATGGGCCCACCCATCTATATTTTATACCACTCTCGGCCCACCGGTCTAATACAACATCCCATACAACACCCTCAGCCCACCGGTCTAATTGATATGTGTCTGGGCCCACTCATCTAATACAATATTTTATAATACCCTCGGCCCACCCGTCTAATTTAATATGTGTCTGGGCCCACCCGTGAATGTGATAACAAGTACCTACCCATCTATCTCATACACATCTACCTTAATACACCCATCTGCATAATATCCAACTACCTCAGCCCACCCGTCTACCTAATATTCATGTAAATCGGCCCACTCATCTACTCTATATATCCCCTGCATGGGCCCACCCGCCTCCATCGGGAATAATTTGCCTCCTGGCCCATCCGTCATAGTCGAGGATATTTTTATCATGGGCCCATGGTCCGCTGGCCCGTATCATATGGGATATTATGCACGTCTGTTTCCTCATATTATACGGAAATAGGTCACTGTAATATGTGTCCGTTCCTCGCATCACGCTGCAAGAAGTCGGAAAGAACTTGGCCTAAATCCGGCATGTTAAAGTCATTGGCAACCTCGTCAATTTTCAACCCTGTGCGAGTGGGATCAAAATTAAGATGAATAGCAGTGGAGGCAGCAATGAATGTCTGAGGAGGGAGAGAAATATTGTCGCATCTTGCGGCAACCAACTTCCTTGCTTTGCTGAAGTAGTTGGTGGGGATGCACATTTTGTTCATCTCTGCTAAGAGTGCAGTTTGTGGATCCGTCAGTTGATCATAATCTCCATTGCCTTCCTCGCCCTCCTCATCTTCCTCACCCTCGCCCTCGAGGAATTCCTCTGGGTTAGAATCAGCGCAAGTCCTCTTCAGTGTCATAGCAATCGCGAAATGTTGCAGCTTCTCCTGGCGATCTAAATGACGACAGATCTGAGGATCATAGTCATTATTATTGGTGTGCCGCGCAGGGTCCTTAATCTCGGATATGTGAGCATGCTCAGTGGTGTCTGTGGACCACTGAATGAGGGCGCCAACTTTGCGTGAGCTGGCAGTGATGCTCTGCATAAGTTCGAGCTTTGGTATGTGCCAGTTGTTGATAGGCTTCTTCATCCCCATCCGAGCCCCTAGGGAGATGATAACATCTTTGTTTTCATGAAAAATCGCAAGTGATCTGTCAATACGTGCAAGTAAATCATCATCAGGCAAAGGAGACTGCGCCATGTACCAGACGTCCATAAGAGCACAGATTGCAATCACAAATCGACGGGGAGCTGCACCAGCAATCAGACCGACAATGTAACACTGGAGATCTCGGTGCACTCTACCCGTGACTTGCTTCAATTTCGAGATTCCACCAAAAAAGTGGCGAAAGCCTGTGGTAGGCTGCAATACTGATATGCGAAAATCCAATTCCTGCTCTCCGACAACTTCAAGGCACCATTGGAGGTCGTGGTCAAAAAACTCCTCATGCCAGTGATGCAGAGGTTCAGGCGTCAAGAAGACTGAAGGATCAGCAAGTGGCCAGTCCACCCAGAAAGGAGAATGGACACCATTTAGTCGGTATCGCTCGCATGCTTTGAAGTAAGCTTCAAGGTCATTTGGATCTACCTCTATGCTGTCAAGCTGTGCCAGGGTGATGGAGCGTGTGCGCTCGGGATGACGAAAAGTGTCCACGAACTCCAGATAGGATGCCAAGGTAAATGGTGAAGTTTTCCCGCGCACGCATGCAAGCATACATGCCTCTGGGGTATCGACAATATATGCTGCAAGAGGCATAAAACAGTGGCGCACATTTCCTGCTGTGTCGGACATCATGATTCCGATTTCAGCAGCTTTCATCAGGGGCTTCAACACTATGGAAAGACATTCGTGCATGAGGCGATCTTCTAGCATGCCCCGCATCCGTGGTCGTGAATGCAAATACTGTGGGATGGGGAGGAGAGCTGTAAGCAGAAAAGCTCTGGATGAGAGCTTGTTGCGAGTGTTCATGCGAATGTTGGCAAGGCCTAAAAGGAGTGGATGAGCGACCCTGGCACCAGTCATATTGGTGATATTCATTTTGTCAGAAGAGAGTACAGTGCCTAGGACTGTTGCGCCTCTAGGAAGCTGGTCCTGCAGTCCTTATGATGAGATGACATGCAAATTTAGACACAAGCCGTACATACCTGGATCTCCCAAGCAGAGTTGCCTGTCAACCACTCTGAGTATACGCGAAGAAGCCGAGCTGATGTGGTGTAAATGCGGCGAGGGACAAAATCGAGCTGGTCGTGAAAAAGGGGGTTACTGAAGAGACTTTCCAGGCATTCCACGGGATCCCTCCAAAACAATCGGATAGGACTTTTTGTGAGATTGGGTGAAGGAATGGCTTGACACTTCCAACTTGGTCCCTTGGGCAGCATCTCAGCGCGGTGTAGAGACTCGCGTGTCTCAATGCCGAATATCCGGCCTTTACCCATACATTCCTATATGCTACAGCTCTAATCCTAAGGACCAGTCTCGCGCGCACTTAGGCGCACCTTACCTGCGCACGCGCGTTCGTGCACCTTCTCCTAGGTCTTCGCTATTGTCCGTCCATTCGTCCCATGTCCTTACTGATTCGCTGGTGCGTTATTCCTATCTTGTCCATTGAACTAATAAAATCTTCGGTCCGACGTCCGCGCTACATATAGAAAGTCTATTTAAACTTAGTTATAATTAGAGTTGATATGGTTACTCGGTTTGGGAGCGTGCTCGGAAGCGCGCCGCTTAGCGCAATCTCCATTCTTAAATACAGAAGGGTTTCCTTTGGTTCTGGTACTTACTTTCCCCTTATCTTTGTGTACTGGAAAGTGTATAGATCACCTCCTCACTTGTTATAAGATCTTATTCTCCTGTCAATCATCCATCTGGGCATTCACTCCTCAATAGGACCTTTCCCTTAACGCTCAAGGCGCGCCTTCGCTTCACGCGTGCGCATTCTCGAACCTCCCGCTCATGCGAGCATCTCGCGCGCCTTTGCCTCGCGTACGCATGCCTTCGCGCGTGTTATCTTCTCGCGCCTGTTAGCACCCGCCTAGCTCATAGAGTTTCCCTCCACCTTATTTTGAGGAACTTCTCTCAGTGGTTGTCCCTTGGGTCGAGTCGTTGTCTCGTATCCCGGTCTTGTTGTTGAGCACCCTTTTGTTTTAAGTGTTTTCATGTATAGTCAAGATTCCTCATCTACAGCGGCTTCGCAATTCTTTAGCATTGCGGAATGATAATTTCAACCAATGGATCTACTAGTACACAATGATATCAGAAAGCGCCGGCAGTTGTGAAAAAGAGATGCACCATAGGGAGTTCCAGAAACTGGTTGATTGCTGCCATACTGAGGGGAGAACACAGGAGAAAATTGGCGACCTCCCACTCTTCCTTTGATGCAAAAGGGTAGAAGAGGTTTTCCTTCCTGCATTCTGCATACTCATCTGCATCAAACAGATCCAGAAAGGTCACACCGTCCCCAGCATAACAAGTCCCTGCGCCCTCATACACCTCCACATCCAATGCCTCTCCCTCATCCTCAAAATGGGCTCCATCAAAGTCAAAGTCCAGCATATTATCCTCAGCGTTGAATTGAGGGACGTCCACTTCTGGCGTTGACTGAAGCTGATTTTGAGATTTCTGCAGCGGAACCGACTCTACACAATGCAAGATATCGACCATATCACGAGTGGAACTGTGGCATGACGTTTGGGGCTGGCTGAGGTGTCGAGTGACACTAGATTCCTTGGTGAATGTCTTTCCATACTTTGGACAAGTTGACACCATATGGCAGTAAATGAAGGAACAAGTCTCACGCTTCACTTGCTTCTGACGTATCACATCCGATTGTACTGCATATTGTCCATATTATTGCTGCTACCTAGTGCTCATGATGCAAACCTCCAATGTCAACTCTGTGGCCCTCCCATACCGTCTTGGGGCCTCTTGCAATTCTGGAGGTTCTTCTCAAAGTTCCTCTCACAGTTCTCTTCGTGTTCCATCCTCTCGTCATCATCCTGATTGCTCTCCATATCATCGATCCAGACGGAGTCTACGACGTTCACCCTCTCTATCACGATCACAGCTGATCAAGGAGGAAGAAAGCTTTCCTATGTTGATGCACCTTGTGAGTTGTTATCTGCCAATTTTTATGCTCATCACTCTCATATATGCTTTTGGTGCTGGCAGGAACGAGACTCCACATTGCTTGAAGAGGAAGATGATCACTCAGACCTCACACTCGAAGCAGCTAAAGCCAAATGCAAAATTTGCCAAGCTCAAAAGCACCTGGCAGATTGTATTTTGGAACACCATGAGATACTTACACATCTCTGCCACTGTTGTGCAGAGAATGCAAATACGCGCTTACTGTTAGCTGACCTCAATGTTGGGCGCTTGCATCTAGAGCGCCGAAAAGATGGTATTGCAGCATATATCAAAACATAATTAATGGTAAGCGCCCAGTGTTACTAGTAGTGTTCTTGTACTGCACTGACACTTATGGTTGATTCACAGCTTAACATGTTGTAAATACTTATATCTTGACGTGAAATAGCTACCTCAACAAAAAACCGTCTTTGTATTTTCCTACACATGCTTTACCGTTTGTGCAGTGTGTAATATCTGTGCTACTGTGTGCTTGTCCCGCTTGTCAAATTTGGTCCCAATCATTAGCTATTTGCTTGTGTTGTCTGTGTGTGTGTATTGCCTTGTATGCTCTTGTGGGAATTTGTTAATAATGTGGGAATTGTCACCAAATTGGTAGTTTGCTGATGCAGCACCCGAAGCAGCAAGCTGCCGACCTTATATGAAGACGAACCAACATGTCTTGGGTGCGACTATAATCCCTTCTCATGCTCTCCACTGCTATTCTCGCTCTAGGGATATCTTGCGTTATTGCCCTGGGTGTCGCTTCGGGTCTCATTCGCAGACATGTCTACCCTTTACCTCTGCCACCTGGCCCTCGTCCGATACCATTTTTGGGCAACATGCTACAATTGGACACTAAACGACCTTGGCTCACATACACTGCGTGGGGAAAGACATATGGTTGGTAGCAAACCAATGGTTGTTGTATTCAATTTCATACCTGACCGATGATCGCAGGAAAAATCATTTACTGCTGCATACTTGGGATTGACTTGATCATCATAAACTCCGAAACCATCGCGAAAGAGTTGCTGGAAAAACGTTCTGCGAATTACTGTGCTCGCCCCGTCATTCGTACCAATGAATTGTATGCATTGGCTGTTTTCATTTAATTTGTTTTTCATCCACTGATGACGCAGAGCCGGACTGGCTTTCGCTACTCCAATGCTTCTGTATGGTGAGACTTTACGACAACATTGCAAGATCTTCCATCAAGTCCTCAAGGCCGAACTCTCGGTGTCATACCACAAGATATACTCTTGCCATGCAAATAGACTAGTCATCAATCTTTTAGGCGCCACTGATGACCTACAGCACCGCACTGAAGCGTTCATATCTAATCTACTGGTGTCGTTGTGACGTATGGTCCAGTTGATGATCAATCCTTTTGACAGATACGCTGGAACCGTAATGGTAGCCGTGACATACGGAGACCTTGATCACAACTCATATCTTACCCGTGCGCAAGAACTCATTGATATTACCAAACAGATTGTTACTCCCGAGAAGGCTGCTATGTTCACGGCCTTTCCTTTCCGTGAGTGCCTCTGTCGATGACATCATTTTGAATATTCAGCATGAGATTGCAGTCGAAAAGTTGCCGTTTTGGTGCTTCGGTGGAGCACATTCCCAGATGGGACACAATAGAGAATTATGTCAACAGCTTTTGAATGAGCCCTTTGACGAAGTGAAGGCACAGATGGTACGTTTGCGCACAGTTGTGGATCAAAATTTCGCCTGATCTGTTTGTGTGAAGGCAAATGGCACTGCTTCACACTCCATCAGTGAATTGATGAGTCCTCGATATTGTAGCCATGGGAAGTATAGCACAATGTAATTCTGCTGCCACCAAATATTAGCTTATATACTGCGAGCAATTTGAGTTGCACATACACATATACTCATGTATGCTTGTAAATCCAGCTTAACATGAATGATTTATAACAATCCTGGGACATTCCGCCTTTGCAGCCAATGAGTAGTGGTAGTATACCTGAGCCAATTGTTTTGAGCTTCGACATCTTACCTGATCTTGTTTGTTAATTACAATGTTATTTAAGGCCTTTTGATGGAAAGAGCCTCGGGCATTTGTCGACAAATATAAAATACCATTAGATTTAGTCACAAAGCTATGACATTCCTCCTTTTCAGATAATTAGGGGTGGTAGTAGACTTATCCCAATTATTTCGTGCATTGTCGTTTGGCCCTATTTATTTATCCCATTACAATGCTATTCAAGCCCTTCTCGTGAGAAGATACCTTTAGTGGACAACTTTTGAAACTGGCTGTACCGCTTCCAGCGGCCTCTGCTTTCAATAAGACTACATTAAGTATTTTCAAAACAATGCTTTACATGTTTCTGATTGCTGCTTATTGCAAATGTGAAAGTACAGCGGCACTCTACAAGGCATCAGCGGGATCAATTGTGCTACAGCGCTGGAAATATCCTAAGTCCAACATTTGTATATGTTTGTTCATGTGACGGTGCACTCACAAAAGTTCAACTTGAACTTTTCTTCCCGCTCTCACTCGCTCTCACTCATTGCTACTCTCACTTGCCACTTTGGCCGACGATGATGGTGCGATGACAACGACGATGACCCGACAGCAACAACCCAACAACATCAACACAACAATGACGATACGACGACGACGATGACAATGACGACGACATGACGACGACAATACGACAATGACGACGACAATGACGACGACAATGACGACGACATGATGACGACAATGACGATATGACGACGACGATGCAACGCAATGTGACGACAACGACATGATGCAACAACAACGATGATGTGATGCGACAATGACGAGACAACAACAACAACGCGATGCGACGAGACAAGATGACGATGACACGACAACAACACGACGACATGATGCGACAACGCGACGAGACGACAATGATGATGACACAATAACACAATGACAACGACGACACAACGATGATGATGACGGATACGACAATGACACAACAACGACAATACAACAACGACACAACAACATATCTCTCACTCGCTCTCATCTATAATAGATATATAGATGTTCGCTGTTTATGTCAGATTTAAAATTTAATGGAATTTGCTTGATATCATTTAATTGAATTGGAAAAGCTGCCTGAAAATAATGTGCTAGTATTGTCGTGAATTGAGATCCTATTTATGAAAATTTGAAATGGATTAAAATAATTGGACAGATTGCCAAATCGTCAAATTCTTGCAGATTCGTGCAAGTTGGATCGCATTTCATCCAATTTGAGAAGGAGGTTTTTCCTGAGTAGCTTTGACATCGGAAGCAGATATAAGAAAATGAAAAACACTTCTTTCCTCTACAAGGTCAAACATGATAATGTAATGACCGATGGCAGAATTATGCCGATGTGTGCGATTGTGTACTATATATTGTGATATATGGCTTTCTACTTTCTTCACCGGTTCACTGATGTCATTAATCAGTGACTTTCTCAGCCAACCTCACGATGACACTGACGAAGATACAATGAAGGCTATTGCATTGTCAGGATACGTAGGTAAGAGTCTTTATTTACCAGCACATAATTCATCTATTGACGGGAATTCGGTGTCTTAGCTGGCATGGAAACCGTGAGTCGTCACTTGAGCGGTCCTGATTCTTACATTGATGTCCCGCAGACTGCATCTGTATTGCATATATTCCTGCTGGCTATGGTGCTATATCCTGACGTCCAAGCCCGGGCTCGTGCAGAAATTGATCAGACTGTGAGGCATGATAAAATGCCATGTCTTAATGACAGGGCGTCCCTGCCCTATCTTGATGCCATTTTCTGCGAGGTCATGAGATGGTATCCTGTCGCCCCCCTAGGTTTGTCGGCAGTAATATAGCTTTGTGTTTGCATGACTTACCCCTTGCATAGGATTTTCACATGCAACTTCAGATGATGATGTTTACGACAGGCATTTTATACCCAAAGGTTCGAGGTGGTACGAGTCAAGGTTGCCGTTGACTCATCTGCAGTTCGATCAGGTACAATAGTAACAGTCAATCAGTGGTATGTCAGGGTGGAGTGCATGCAATGGTTTGAGCTGAACATTTCTCAGGGCACTGTCTCGGGATGAAGATATATTTCCCGATGCATCGCACTTCGATCCTAGTTGCCATCTAACTGTTGACGGGAAGCTGAAGAGCCCTGTTGTCAACCATTTTGCCTTTGGTCATGGCAGGTGAATATTATACACTTGCTAACATTTTACATCATTAACTGACCCTTGCAGACATATTTGTCCTGGTAGGCTGATCAATGATCTGTCAGTGCTGATCATGACAAATTCTTTTGGTAGGTCGTTGGTTTGCAGAGTACACTATGTGGACTGCAATTGCTGCCATACTCGCTGTCTTACGCATCGATCATGCCAAAGACTCAAACGGAGACAGGATTGAGGTGAAGCCACAGTTCACCACCGGCATGGGGATGTAAGTGACCTAGTATGCATCCAATAACCTGCGGGCTAATTCTGTCGAAGTCAGCCTGAACCATTTCACTGCTCTTTTGAAATCGTGAGCACAGCAAGAGAAGGACAGATCCGAGCAATGATGAATTCTGGGTAGACTTAGTTTGTACGATGAACAAGAGAATTGCTTTCGAATATATTGATTCCGCAGAAACTAGATCCGTTTCCAAAATCTCGTGACTCGGTGTCACAACCCAATAATGAATTAATGCTGGGCAGACACATAATTCAGTACTTTATTTCTGACTTAGACGGACAGCCAAAGGTTGAGAATCTCCCCAGTTAGACGGGCCATCCTAGGTCGGCCCATACGCAGATAGGGCGGGCGGGCCAGCCATGAAGGCAATCCTCGGTGGTGACGGGTGGGCCAACATCATGCAGTATTATTTGTAGGCTGGGGTAATGGTCAATAGACCAGTGGGCCAGCCATGGAAGGACCGGAGATAGGGCGGGCGGGCCAGCATGAAGGCAATCCTCGGTAGTGACGGGTGGGCCAACATCATACAGTATAATTATGAATTATTTGTAGGTCGGGGTAATAGTCAATAGACCAGTGGGCCAGCCATGGAAGGACCGGAGATAGGGCGGGCGGGCCAGCCATGAAGGCAATCCTTGGTAGTGACGGGTGGGCCAACATCATACAGTATAATGATGAATTATTTGTAGGCCGGGGTAATAGTCAATAGACCAGTGGGCCAGCCATGGAAGGACCGGGAGGGATACAGAAGAAGCATGCATTAATATATTGGGCCAGGATGTGTGCTGCTGGGGTACCGGCTGGGCCCAAAAGTATTCTTGGACAGGGAATGACAGCCCCTTATACCTGGTACAGGCGGATGGGCCCAGATATGGACCCAACCATTCCAAGGTCCTCATCAATGATGGTTGGGCTGACGTACCCGAGACCAGCGGATGGGCAGGCAGTTGTACCCGGTATTGGTGGATGGGCCCAGATGTGAACATGACCATACCCAAGGGTCCTCACCAACTTTGATTCCGAGACTGGCTGACAGGCACGTCCTCCGTTAATTATGGGTAGGCTGGCACCTGAGCCCGGCAGACGGCACCAGACCAATGCTGTGAATACCAGATTCGCATAGGTATGGTGTCCCAGACATATTGCACATCTGAACAGTTGCATTCCCTTGTGTGTGCAATCATGTCGGTCGCACATCCGGTCCTTGATGGTGGATCTTCTGGATACAGACATCAATGCCAGTTTGGATGCTCCGGCCGACACAACATCGCGTTGTATTGACTTGCATGCGCAGTTGGTTGGTTCAGCTACCGAATTTATACCACAACAGAGATCCGGTATCATTCGGACACGACTCAGATCAACTTATCCGATATGGTAAATAAGATGCAATCAAATCGGTCCACCGAACGGGAGTGGCTGGAGTGTCTGCGCCCCAAGCAGCCAGTGCAGATTACTGATCCCAATTTCCACACCGACGCTGGTGGTTGGGCTGAGGTGTGAGATCCATAGAGATGAGCGGGCCCAAAATGTGTGACCAGGTGGGCCTGCATGCTCGAGGGTGAGAATGGGCCAGGCGGATTTGCGGAAATTGTGACGGATGGGCCCAGCTAGCATGTATACATATATGGGTGGGCCCGGCTTGTAGGCATGCTTGGGAAAAAGGGCAACAGATGGGCCCAAAATGTGCGAGGATAGGCCCAGCAGATTGCATGTAATCTTGAAAATCATGACGGATGGGCCCACCGTGGATTTGATCTCAGAAAAGGCAAATTGGCCCAGTGCATATGCAGATGCGGTCTCGGAAACAGTGACGGATGGGCCCAGTCCGCTGTGTTTGGACTTGGAAAAGGCAATGGACGGGCCCAGTCCCCCATGGGTATAATAATGTTGGGTGGAGTCTCGGGGAAGGCTATGGATGGGCCCAGAACATGCTTATTTGTTCGCAAAAATGGTGGCAGATGGGCTGAATGTGCTTGGAAGGGACTCGGGAATAGACCCTTCCACCCATGATTGTGGAATCGGAAAGGGCGACAGATGGGCCCACTCGTCTTATATTGCTGAGAATGGTGGAGCCCGTAGATTTGGTCTCGGCGAAGGCGACGGGTGGACTCAACTTGTGTGTATTCCCGAGAATGGTGACGGATGTGTGCAGCATGTATATTGCATGCTGGCAAGGGGCTACGGATGGACCATCCGACATATTCCATGGGAGTGCTCGCTGGGGAAATGTCTGACAGTGGCCGGGTTCTATATGAACCCATCAGTTGTGGGCATTCCAACAACTGTGGAGAGTCATATGCGTGAACCGAGTGTAGGACTATTGTAGAGAACCACCACGGCTACCATAGGCTAAACCCTTTGGATCTACATCGGCAAAGGCCCTATCTACTATTGCTTCTGGAAGATCCTGCACGGTTGTAAGGTACTGTCCACTCTGAAATCATTTTATCGCTGCCTCCGCTGAGGATGAGGTCATGTATTCCATCTATGTACGGTAGAATCCTCACCGAGACTTGTGAGAATGCTTGTGTCATCAGCAATAATCGAATTGGCTAGCTACAACACAACAGATACTAATATATGTCGCCATTCTCCCAAAGTCATTGTATGATAGCTTTATGATGAAAAAAACAGACTGGTAGTCACCAAATTGGTGATGCAACAAATTATAAATGAATCAAATGACCATCAGCGACCCTTCACTAAATATATGGCGGCGCTTTGCAGCTGGCTCCCGAACATCTTGCTCAGGATGAAATAGATAATTCAGCATATCCAAGTCATGCTCCGCCACAATCTTCTGCCCATCCCATGCACTGTCAGGCTGTCGAATATCCTTCCGATTGACATACATAGGATAATGTGTCTGCTGGATCGGTCCGGCCCAATCGAAATCGAGCAGCATGAAGTGTTTGTCGTCCCGCACAACAAAATTGGTATCTCGAAGGTCGCCATGAACGTAGCCGTCATTGTGATTGTGTAACTCCCGGATGAGAGAGGTGATGGTCTCCTTCAGCGGCTGACGGTCCAAAACACTTATCTCACTGAGCAGTCGATATGAGCCAGGTCGTTGCGGAAAGCAATCATTATCAATATCAAGGGCATCCATAATCACCAGATTCCAGCCGCCGGGTAGAGAATTGTAGGCGATAAGTTTGGGGGTGTTCCCCTTGCTGGCACAGAATTCATGAGCCTGAGGGGAATAGTGCCTGACAAACTTCATGCATATCTTGCTCCCAGCCGCATCGCCGACGGTTTCCCCGAAGAAAATAAGTCAATCCCTGAGGATTTGAGTCTCATCATATGAGAATTCCTGAATGAAACCGGTGGAATTGGTATAACTCCGAGGGTAAGGACATTTAAGATATGGATCTTCGGGTTCGAGGGTCGGGATTGGATGGGAGTATAGTTTGGTGAGTTTCTCGACGGCAATTTTGAGAGCCCCGAAAGTACGAGCTGCCATCACTTGCATGCGGAGGTCTGTTGAATGCCAAAACAGAGGAATGATAGGGACCAGGACATTGGACTGGACTTTTTCAGTGAAAACAGAGCCTGAAAAGCTGATGCATGCCCCTAGTTGTGATCAATAAAAAGCTTTAGCCATTGATCTCGTGAAATGAACTAACCGAAGACAATGATATGGATGCATGGAATAAAAGACCGGAGCCTTGCCATCTCAATCTTCGAGTCTTCCATAAACTTGCGGTAGTACAACATCGCCTCCATGAATGGTTCGGCAGTGCCACTTCCGATCTCGTTCTTCCCCTCAATTATCATCAGCACAAACTGTCCGTTGGTAGACAAAATATGTCCGTCTGTCGTACATCTGGTTGAGCCAACCATAGAAGCATTGAGTATAATACCGTAGTCCTGGAGCACTTGCCGGAATGTATTCATCCGCACGAGCTCATTGGGATAGAAGGAGGCCATCTTTTCCGAAAGTTGCAAAACAAAGTCGTTATCGTGGACAATTGGTTCATACTTTTGACAATAATCCATGAACTCGGCGAAGATAGGCTCAAGAAGAGTAATGGGAACAGGGTCCGCGGCTCTGCGAGGACAGTTGCAAAGGTACTCTTGCTGGTCCTGCTTCGTAGAGAATGCGGATGGTTTTGCACCGGCCGACGGACTACCCGCGCCCTTCTTGAGATAAGCGATTCGCCGATCAGCAGCTGGAATGTGTCGTGCAATGGCAGGATGTTTTACGACGATATGAATGCATCCGCGCTCTATTCCATCCGCAAACACATCAGACAGCTCGGTTAACGGGTGCAGCTCGACGCCGCCGTCTATGATCGCGTTCCGTAAGTCTATATCATTCAAATTGATCTTGACCTTCCAAAATATCAGATTATTAACATTCAACCTTAGGCATCATATCACTCATCTTCCATAGCTCAAGACGGTCAGCGGCAACATGGTCAAACTCTGGCTTCTTGGTGATCTTGATAACATTTTTGAGGTCACCGACAGTCTTCGTCCGCTCAACGTCGACTGGGAAAATATGGCGAGAATCATCGCCGAAGACAATGCAGTTAAGTTTCAGGTGGAGCAGTCCGGAAGACACTAAGTCGGACCACGATCATTGAGGAAAGGGTGGCAATATCGAAGGACAACTCACCGGCAGGCTGGGCATTGGATAATAATATGCAGATACTTGCGCGGAGGAGCATTGGGGAAAATCTCTACCATTTCATCCACAGGTGATAGGGATTTCATTGGGTCCAGTGTAAGATTGTTGAGATTGTGCTCAATCATCTCGTCGACGGGCAGGTCGACCTTCCAAAATATCAGATTATCAACATCCGATCCTAGGCATCAGATCACTCACCTTCCATAGCTCAAGATGGTCAGTGGCAATATGGTCAAACTCTGGCCTTTTCTTGTCTTTGATGACCTCTTTGAGGTCACCAACAATCTCCGTCCGCTCAATGTCGACCGGGAAAATACAGGCGAGGATTATCGCCCAAGACAATACAGTTGAGTTTCAGGCGGAGCGGTCCAGACATCTGACATTGACAACAAGAGTGATGGCATCTCGAGCGGTGACTGCAGTGAGCGCTCACTGCTGCAGCAACAATGCACTTACAAAGCCAAGCAGCAACACCCCGTGACCGGGTATTTGATTTTCTGTGAGAATACACCGTGCCTGGGAATTTTCGTCCCTTTCCGGGTATCCGATGCACCATTTATGGGTGAGAAGTGGATTAAGGCCTGTTGCGGTGCATCTGTTGTCGCAATCAGAGGTAGGTTTATCTTGCAGGCACCGCAACAAGCCTTAATCCACTTCTCACCCATAAATGGTGCATTGGATACCCGGAAAGGGGTTAAATGGTGTATGACGAGATGTTCTAGGCACAGTAAGCCTTAATCCGCTTCTCACCCATGAATGGTGCATCGGATACCCGGAAAGGGGTAAAACGGTCCTATGACGAAATTTCCATAGGCAGCAGTAGGCCTTAATCCACTTCTCACCCATAAATGGTGCGTCAGATACCCGGACAGCCGTACAGGATCTTCCAGAAGCAATGGTGGATCGACCATTCGTGACGTAGATCCACTGGGTTTAGCCTATGGTAGCCGTGGTTGTGCTCTAC